ACAGATCCTGTTCTGAGATATAATCACATATTCATCTGTAGTGTACAGTCGACCACCTCTGTGACGGCCCACATCTACTCAATATTCTCCTTCTTAAGGCTTGAACAGCTGTCCTTGCTTTTCATAAAAATGTACATGCATATCACGTACTGTATATCCTCAGTGAAATCCAATATGCCATTTTATTTTAGCTGTACCATCACTTTGCATGGAAAATTTGATGCATCATCATTATTTTATGTTTATTTCCTTGTTATTTTGTGGGGCTTCTTTTGCATCAATCACTGGGTTGATGACTTGTTTTGACATTTAAGTTCAGTAGACTTGCACAGTCTGGGGTGATCATTTGAATTTCTAATGAGACCACTGGTGGGTCTACGAGGATAAATAGGTTAAATGATCCAAGTCCTAAATTAACATCAAGACAAAGTTAACGTGTTGGCATTCACAGCCTAGGGGTCGTAAACACTTCATTATAGACTTTGATTACATGTAAGGTCACAGTCATGGCCTTGAATCCATAACATCTACAACTGCAAGGTTCTTAATGGACCAATATGGATATCAGTTTCCCAACACGACCTTTCAATATCATCGTTTTTTCTTTGCCAATAAATATTTGGAAACTCACCATTTTCAGCCGCTTAAGCTACATTAAACATTTTCTGGATTTGGTATTTAGATAAATAGGACTTCTCTAAAAAGCCGTGACTGGAGGACACCGGTTACGAGAAGTCTGCTGACAGCGATGCCAACATGACCTTCAATAAACATTTCAGGCGACATTAAGGTGATGAACTCAAGGGTCTGCTGGATGCACACCAGCAAATTTGTTTACTGAGAACAAGTAGGAATACAGCAATAGAAAGTTTTAATTGTGTCAAATTAAAACATGCTCACTTGGACTTTGTGTTGCTACAGGTATGGGGATAATTATTGGTTAATCACAGGAGTCTTATGGTGCCCATCTGTCCTATTTTGTAAACATGATATCGCAAGAAAGCCTTGAGGTCATTTCTTCAAATTCAGTTTACTCAATAAAGATTGAGGCGGTAGAAGGTTAAAGGTAAAGACTTGTTTTTTGGTTCTGCAACATCCAGGAACGCCTCAAGGAAATTTGGACTCATGAACCAATTCTATCAAGGTCAAGAGCATGCAACCTGAGCACAGAAAGACGCCGGGCAAATCGGAATTCAAACTGGCAACCTTCTTACAGTGAGGCTACAGTGCTACTGTTCATCAGTCATCGAGATTTCTGAACTCAACTTAAGGAAAGTGGGTTAGACTAAACAGTCAGTTCAACTCATCTGTCTTAATTTTTAACTTAATACACTGAGCAAATTAAATATAAATATACATGGAGGGCATTTAATGTCTGAGGTGGCATTTCTACTGTTCGAGGATGATTTTCTTCTCTTGGCTTCTCTGAAATGTGAACTGAGTGTTGGGGGTTTGGGAGGTTTGGGTGTGGATTTCTCATTCCCTGTGAGGAGGGAGCAGCTGCCACACATGGAGCGGCGACGCACTGTGGAGCAACGGAGCAAGGGATTGTGAGATTGATGGTCAGTTAGGGCCACTGGCTGGTGAGGCTTTGCATCACAATGTGGTGGTGAAAGTCAGAGCCCAGCGAAGGAGTAAAACAATTGAACCGTCAGCCCTCGGTCACATCCTCTTTGAATAGTGACAGAGAGAGAATGAGATCGCAGGTACGGGTGGCTTTAATGAAGTTTCTCTGCTGGGTGTCTGCCTGTTAAACAGAGCTCAGTGATTCTGAAAAACCTCAACGCTGAATCACTTCTCCTTTGCAGTGTGAGAAGCCAACTGAGGGGGTTGAAAAGGCCACGCTCGGTTCGGCGATGTCCTGAGGCATGACCAACTGAGACGACAACCCCAGGACAAACCAAGGACACACCTGAGGGACTACATCGCCCATCTGGCCCCGGGAAAGATGAAGGATCCCACAGAGACGCTGGAGAAAGTTGACATTAAATGGTTAAATAAGTCTTCCTGATTCTGATACTATTGAATCCAAACTTGACTGACAAAACTTTTTCCATATTGTCTTGTACTGTAACCTAGCTTCGTCTTTGCCCGCGTCTGAACCACTTGTACTCTGAAATTGATTTTTCTCTGTCTGAAGATCAAACCCTGCCTCGTCCATGCCTCTGCAATCTCTTCTGCTTTTCTCTATTGACAAACCAAGAGCAAGAAGCAAAGGTACCTTTCTTTGTCCCTCTTTATGCCATCAATACAAAACTGGAAAAAAAAGTGAAATGACTTTCCTGATGTATTGCATGAAAAAGACTAATAAGTTTAAATAAGCATTAATATTCCTCCTCAATGTTTGTTGCTAAATTTAAACTAAAATTAATTCTGTATACATACTTTTTTCTTTTAGCCTCAAACAGAAGATATTTTCAGCCAACGTCCCTCATGACATATGATTATTTCTCATTAAATTCTCAGGCCCCTGATCGTCCTTTCTGGATGTTTTCACCTCTAAAATGATTAAAGTAATTCAAACTATACTCAAAACAAAAACTGAAAACTAATTTCAGCTCCATTTATATCAATGTACAGTCTGCTTTATAGATGCAGAGTGACTATTCATTAATTTGTCATGCACTCATTTGGATTAGTTGCTAATTAAATGATCCTTCAAGTTTTCATGTTAGATGAAGAACTTCAGAGGGATTCTCTCTCTAATGGGGAAGAAAACTTTCATAAAAACAGGAGCTGTCACATCAAACAATCTTCAGTGTTAGTGTGGTAGTGGTGTGTTTGTGTGTGTGTGTTTGTGTGGTCCTCAGGTTGTGAATAAAATTACTCAGCATAAATTGGTGTTCTATTCTTTGCAGAAGGAAATAGATCAAAAGCTGAAAACACAGAAAATTAACCAAATTACACCGATGCAAATTTTTGAAAGTCGTGTTTTTGACGTCATGACAAATGCTCGTCTGCTCAAACGTCTCATCAGGCGCTTGGACAGAGGACATTTCATTTCCATTAAACCGCGGTTAATTATCCTTTATAACCATCTTTCTGAATGAGCACAACAAACAAGAGATTCCATCAGAAATTCAGCCTCATGGTTTATTTTGGAATGTTTTGTTTGAGCACAGGCAGCCTGCCAATTTCTTATGAATCTCACAACACACTCGCCCCAGTGTGTGTGTGTGTGTGTGTGTGTGTGTGCATCACTGAGAAAGAGATGTGTGTGTTGAAAGGAAGAGGCAGACAGGTGAAGAGAGATGGAGAGAGAGAGAGAGCGAGACATGTCGCAGCACCCTCAGGACGTCTCCTCTTTCTGAGCAGCTGTTGTCTGAGAGCTGGAGGCAGCACTGCGGCGCCCTGTCAGCTCCCCTCTCCCACACAAGCCCCCATGCATGCAAAGCAGGCTCAGGCTGCCCTCTCTCCTTGGCCAAACTTATTCCGCCCCCTATTTTTTGTGTCCGTATATACCAGTCACCTCCTTATTTACTCTGGCCCCCTTCTCTCTGAGACAGAGTCTTTATTCAAATCAATTCCCAGCCATCAGACGTAGTGCGCTCAGTAATAGTTTACAACACACACAGACACAGCAAGTGAGCCAATTTTATGAGAAAGAGCATCTCAAGGGCAGAGACTGATAAAGGAAGGAAAATGTATTGTTGTTATTTCAGACCAGATTGATTCTGTGCGAGCAGACGCATCAATTCCTCTGCAGAAGGAAAATAAATGAGCATGGTCTGATTTGGTCGAGCTCTTTCCACCATTGTAAAATCCTCTTACTCTGAAAAGTCAGGGGCCAGTAACGGTGTGGTAAACACGCCATTAAAACCTGTTCACTGTTCAAAACTCTGACCTGCTGATGCTGTTATACATCCATATATCAATGTGTATGACTGTTATGATTCAATTCAACTTCATCCTACATAGCAAAATGGTTTGGGCCTATATGTGTGCATCTCACACCCCAGATCCGGCCCACACACACACCGTGGAAAGATGGCCCTTGGGTGGTCCGCTCATGTTTCATCTGGGCTATAAGTAAACCATAGCATTTCAAGCTAAGGTGGCCAGAATTTGTTTTAAGAAATTGGGACCATATTTCTATATGTCCTGCCATATTTAAACATATTGATGCTATTAAGGACAGAACCAATTAATAATAGCAATGATAATTATAATGACTGGCAATAGTAAAAATGAAAATTATGATAGGAGTTGAGTAGTGTCAAAACTTAAATACTGCATTTGCTTGCCTTGTATAGTATAAAGGCATTAATAAAGAGTTCCACTAGGGGGCGATACTTCACTGTCGCTTGAATGCATGTTCTGCAACAGGTTGATGAAAAGCGAGATGAGAAAGAAGTAGATATGCACTCAGAGATGCTACACACACTGAGAATATTGAAGTTACTACAAATTTACACAGTACGTCCAGAGTGACCTGCTGGATCTCACGCATGGTGATGAGGAATCTATCAGGATTTGGAAAAAGCCCAAAACATTACGTCATAAGCTCCTGCACCACCACACCCATGAGTGAAGTCGTCCAGGATTCAGGTGGCCTACAGCAGGGCCCGTCCTTCAGAGACGTTCCCAAGTGAATGAACATCTATCCAGCAAAGATGACCACATCACAGGCTATAATATGTACAACCAACATGTTGGTATCAGACAACAGATCCCATTTCTCAAATGCCAAATTAGACTTGTTCAGGAGGCAGAATGTTTTCTGAAAAGTGAGGTCAGCACCTGTCCACCTAATCGTCTAACGGACTGACAGAGAGGGAGGCTCAGACCTTCATGGAGGGAATGAAAATGATTAAAGGTGATAAAGTGCAAACCAGGTTGTCAAGATACCGCTTCAGTTATCGCATCAGACCCATGTGACGAGCATCCTGTCGACTGCAGAAGAGCGGGGGATGTCACAGAGACGAGCTTGTGACAGACAGAGAATAAAAGGCAACAGAAAAACACTCATGACACAAACAGAAAACTGAGAATTTTCTTACGAGGTGACGGCATGTTGATCAGAAACTATTCCTGTGGTCCTACATCCCTCTGTCGTCCACATCTCACCAGGTCCAGTAACACTATGTTAGAAGTGGTCAAACCATAAGAGACAAAGTTGGACTCGACACTGAGCCCAGGTCCGATCTGGGAAATGAACAGGTGCTGTTGTCAGACACTGAGACCCTGTGGCCCCTAACAGACAGTGATGGACTAGAGAGAAGAATCTCCTGTGTGGGCCCAATTCAGATTTTACATTTTCTCTGTTTCATTACTTGTTATTGTAATGTCCATGGACTATAGTCTTATTTATCATCATCAGGGTTTATGAAGAACATTAAGCTCAGGCTGTAGAACACTGGATTTCTCAGCCTAGAGACCAGTGGCAATCAAGACTCAGCTAAACTAGTTATAATTTGATTTATTTCAAATTTAGTTAGACATTTGCAACACTCAAGAAAATTATCCACTGAGTGCTGTGTATTGTTTTAATCTTGTATCAAAATGTTGGGTTTGGAATTTATATTGTGCTCATGTATTATATATTCCTATTTAAAAGTAAAGCCAACTCAGTGGCACTGAGTGACGAGTACCAAAAACAAGGTCAGGTCCAGTGAGGGACTATTTGTAGGTTTCTGTGGGGAGGGATTAGCAACAGTGTCAACAAAACCTAAAGGCCCTTAAACTGGTTAGTCTGGTCATGGGTCAAGGACTAATGCTTTGACGCAGGATTCCTTTCGTCACATTCACACATTCGATGGACACAGAGCCCAAGGAAAGCTCCCAGTGCTCATGACTTAAACTATATTCTGGGACTGCTTCTTAATTTACTTGGTAACCGACCAGTGCTATAATGAGGCTTTCAGATTTCCTGATCGTCTGCGAGAAAAAAAAAAAACTTTTGAGTGCCTAAACTTAAAAACTCCTTATTTCCATAAACTCATAAAGGACAGTTTTGAATCTGATTTCTGAGACCAACCCTGTACACAGCATAGAGAAATTTAAAAATTTTAAGAAGTGCTTTCTCTTAGTCAACATCATTTAGTCAGTTCTGACTTCATTGCTTCTCCTTTTGAACACAAGTGTGTGTTTTAATCGTTGGTTTTTTTTTCTTTGTCTAAAACACCCAAATAAACTTTGTTCATTCAGTTAGCGTATAACAGAACAGTGTCCGATGGCATGACCGGATAAAATGTAGTATAAAGTTTTTTTTCTAAGCCGGTCAGTTGTGTTGTCCCTTATGAGCCTGTTGATTCAACATTAGTGGCGATGAAAGCTGTTCTTCAGGACTGGAGGAGAACAGGAGAGGTTGGGATCAGCTTTCTGTAATTTGATAAGAACCCAGACAAAGGCTTATGAATAATGAGAAAAAAGAAAAGAGCATGTTGCTATGATACTGAAAACAACAACCCAGTGATTAACAGAGTCAACATTAGTTAATGACAACAGAATGAAAATATAGAACCACCAGTGCTACACACGTATTTTAATTCCACTGCCTAAATGAAAACAAATTAAACTGACAAAGAATATCTTTCTTAGTCAGGAAGCGATGCTCATCCTGTTGTTGATAAAATGCTGCCACCATGTGTTGTGCGTGAGTACTACTTAGTATTGCTCAATAATGACATGTTCATGAATAAGTTCCTTTCACGGCCGAACCAGGACAGAGGTCAGTGAGGTGACGTCACTGATGAAGACTTTCCAGTCACCAGGAACCGTTTTCATCACATCTTTCATTTGTATTGTCACATTGCAAGTTTGCATGAAAACAAGGGTTTGAATACATGACATGGCAGTTTGGACAAATCCTGACTGAGCTCATTTAGGTTTTTTTGAAAGTGTCTCAATAGGTTTTCTGAGTTCAGGCTCTTCAGTGACTCACACTGGGCTGAAAACTTTCTGCTGACTGATCTGTGGTTTGATATGTTTGACTTCAAGGCCACGCCCCCAGAAGCGATGTTACAATAGCTTGAATTGCAACACACCTGATGATAACCCACTGACTTAGCTTTAACTTTTAATAAGTTACAATCACATTTCTTTTTGTGTCAAGTGTTAAAATAAATGATGAAACAAAGCTAGTCAGAGCTGGAAGTGGTCATTCATGTCTCAATAGATGTGTTGTGGCTGCCAAAGATGTCAAGTCAACTCAGAGTTCAGAAGTTTAAACTTCTGATAACCACCAGAAGTTTTTCAATTCTAGCAAAGATGCAAAAAAGTGACACTGTCAGTTCAGCATCACGGGCCACAATAACCTACAAACAGTGTTTGACCAACTTCTCACAGTTTAGCGGTTTAGAGTTCGCTCAACACTGGAAACAGCAGCTCTCAAAAAAATTATAAATTCTCACCTCAAGGTCCATTTAGAAGCTGTTCCTGTTCTGGAGCCTTCAATCATGGATGTTCAAATCCTAGGAGAGAAAAAAGTAGAAAGAAATAACTACATTTCTGTAAAAATTAAACACTAATGAAGACCATGGGATATGAATCTATTTTATCCAGAGGCAGACTCCATGTGCTTTATAGCGAAACATTAAACACTAAATAAGATGGAAAACAATACTCTGCCATCATTGGCATTCTACCATTACTGACTCTACAGCTGTCATTGCTCGGCCTTCCATGCTCCCATCTCTGTCAGCCATTTTCTTTTATACAAATACTTTAAATATTGATACACTTGATGAAGACGTCAATTTTACCTATATAGTATATTTCATGAAGAGGCAGTCTCAGTGCTTTACAGTAAAACATGCAGAAAACTTTAAACAAGTGACAGAAATACTCCACACCAATATAACAACTCTATAGCCGCCCATCTAGCAAACATACATATACAGGATAACTGCAGGTTTCAAGACCATGATGTAATTTAATAACTCCCCATAACTGAAGATCAAGTGATGTGGAATGATGACGAAGACCATTGAGTGTCAAAGAATCCATTTTATTTATAAAGTACATTTCATACAGAGGCAGATGCCATGTGTTTTATGGTAAAACAAAAGATTAAACGTGCAATAGAAAAGAAATACTCCACATTGATAGAATAACCATACAGCCTCCCTTACAGCACACGTACTTACACACATCACATTCACAATGAAGCATTCACACACACACACCAACAACCAAAACCCTGAGAACTGTTTTAAGCTAAATAATTTAAACCTCCACAACTGTTACTAAATTCTGGGCTTGTTGTTATATTCCAATATTCTATAACCACATTTATAGTTACACGTCAATGATTTCACATGGACACATCTTGTACAATATTTTATAAGGATGCCACAATAATTGGAAAAATGGAAAGTGAAGTTTTGTGTGTGTGACCTATGTTTAGATGACGGCTGCTTCTACAGCTTAAAATGCATTACTTAAAATACACAAAATAACCTCACACAGTTAACAGTTTCATATAACATACTCTTATTAGCAGAAATTTGAAGTTCATTGATTCCGAGTGCAAACATTTAGTCATCTTCCTCTGCCAGTTTCATTGTATTAGTTTCAGTGATTTAAAGTATTTAATTCAGTTTTCTTCGACTCACCAGTTGTGGGGGTTGTCAGGAGTTGCCTGGCTGGACAGCAAAGGGAGGCTCAGCTCTGTCAAACCTGCTTAAATACTCATGTTTGCTAATTGGACCGTACCATGTCTCTACTGCATTGTGGGGAGTGGGGGAGTTTCCAGTTAACTCTTCTTTTTGTTCATATCTTTTTCACAATGGTGGTTTTGAAATTGTTGATTCATTAGTTTGTTAACTAACTATGTTAGTTCATTATATCATATTTCAGGTTATTGCTGTTCATTTGAATAATTGTTAATAACTGCTTCTCCCCTTTGAGTGCTTGAGTTTTTAACACGTTTTTAAGTATATAGTTAAAAACTTAGTACATTAGAAAATCTCTTTTAAGGGCTCACATTCATTTGGTTTGAATTAAAGACTTTTTAAGACCCTGCAGTATCATTGTCCAGCGTATGTCTGACATTTATCTTGCTTTTTTTAAATAAAAAAATTATATTGTTCCAAGAGACCATCTCTCTTTGCTGTCGCCTCAACATGAGGGTATACAGGTGGTCCCACCTGTGGAACTGTACTCTCATAATTCATGTTTAAATATGAACAATTCACACACTTCATATTTCTATAGAGTTTGAAACAACATGCCTTACATCTCAGTCATTGATTTTCAGTCATTCACTCCTCTATCAGGATATTGTGTTTCTGTCTCTCTTCATCTTCTTGCACTACACAACTGTAAACAAACACACAGTCAATGGTCGCAGCCTCTGAATAAATAACACCAATAATAAATGGAGTGAGGATGAATAATTCAAAGTGCAGCCGGTTGTGTCTGTGCCAGTGTGTCGTCATCAGGAAGTGGTCGGTGGTGTTTGCAGAGGATGGGAGCAGCAGGAGCAGCAGGAGGAGCAGGAGGAGGAGGAGGCGGTGGCAGAGCTCAGCTACCAGACGCGTGTTTCACTCTCAGCCCGGTGGAGATGGATGATCCCCGGAACACGATCCGCTGAGATCCGACCCCAGGCCCAACACTCGCGGCTCATTGCGGTGCCACACGTCCCGTCTGGAGGCTTGTGGAGGAATGGGTGCGCTCCAGTCTGCAGCCGGTCAACCAGGATATGTTGATCTGGCGGAGAAGACGGGATGTGAGTGTTGATGTGTGTTTGACTTTTTAAATGTCCGCAGAAAAACATGAGCTCACTGTTGGAATAACAGGTTGAATCCAGTTTTATCTTAAATCCAGTGTCTGACATCTGTTGAGCAAAAACATGATCGGGCCTGTTATTTGTCTTCATCATATAAACACACCAGCCTCTCTGCTGTGTCTCGAGTTTGAGCTGCAGCATCAATGAATAATTCAAGTTAGTGTAAGTTTCCGAGATGGGTGATAGTCGCTAAGCAGCAGACACCAGCAAACCAGAATGTTTTCCATAGAATATGAATATACAAATCTGTTGCCACGAAACTTTCCTGTAGAACTTGAAGAGCTTGTTCATTAAAAACAAACACTTTGCATAGTTAAAGGTTCAGTGTGCAGAATTTAGTGACATCTAGTGGTGACGTTGGACGTTGAATGCCCCTCACCTCACCCTCCCTTTCTAAACATGAAGGAGAACATGTGGTTGTCTTCACTTGTCATTAAAACTCAAAAGGTTTAGTTTGTCTAATTTGGACCACTGTAAAAGACATGGCGGCCTCCGTTAAGAGGATTCTCTCCCAATGTAAATATAAAGTATTTAAATATAAAGGGTCCATTCTATCACTAGGATTATTTTATATTCAATTTCTGTCTAAATCTCACACTCTGGACCTTTAAAGTGTCAAAATGATTCATGCTAAAATGGTTTGAAGAGTAATATCTGTTTTTTAGCAAGCACACAATTTAGAATTGGACCTAACGTTGCTTCTTTCAGTTTCATTTGAACAGATCCAAGTCCTGCATAAAAGATTCAAACAGCTGAGCCACAATGAAGAAACTCTGCGGTAAGTTGACCTTGTGCTGTAGTTTGCAAGTCATTTTCTTTTTTTTTTTTAAAGCAACTCTTCCTAATAAATTGGCTCAGCGTTTTGCCTTCTTCCTTTGGGAATAAAAATCTGCCTAACAGGTTCCATGGTGCCACAAACAGCCTTTAACACGTGACCTGTATTGATGACTCCTTTAAAAGCCTTCTTTCACACCCTCAGGAGAGATCACTTCAGTGGGATCCCAGATCTTGCGTGCAACCCAATCCGTGCACAGATCATAGAGGCTTTCTTTGACAGAAGGTGCAGTGACCATTCCTTTAAGAAACGTATCTCCACATGTTTGAACACGCAGTTATTGCACATTTCCACATGCAGATTAAATAGGAATCCTCTACTGTGTATGTGAGTGTTTTAATGTGATCACTGTGCATTTCTACAGAAACTACCATCAGAACGGAGAGGGCATGGTGCAGGAGATCGGCTTTGAGGAGTTCCTGGTGGTCATGTCCCATTTCAGGCCCCCGTCTCTGCACATGACAGAGGAGCAGCGTGAGAACGTCAGGAGGGAGAAACTGAGATGTGCGTCTGAAAACAAACCACGCGATCATATGCTCGACATTATCTGTGACTGACACAGAGCTGTTCAACTGATCGTTGTGTTCTTCTCCACAGTTTTATTCAACATGCATGACACAGACAATGATGGGACAATAACCTTGGAGGAATACAGACACGTAAGCCACAAACAATGCTCCCCTCATGCAGTGTTAAAACCTTTAAATAAACTTTATGCATAAAGATGATGAAGAACAACCATGTCTGTGAACAGAAAACCTTCCTGAGTCAGTATGAGATTATGAGATATGAGAGATGAGATATATATTTATATGTATATATATATATATAACTCCACTGCTGGTTATCGGGCATCTCCTCTCCACCGCTCAAGAGTCAGCTGCCTTCCTGCAGTGCACTTGATTGGCAGATAATGAGTGAAGGGAGGAGGGGTGCCATTTCCTCAGACCCCCTGGAGATCAGGGATGGGAGTGTCGTAGTTCTCAATGTGAAGTTATTACTTCCTCTAAGGAGGTTTGTTTGTTTTCTTGTTTGTACTTAAGATTACACAAAAATAACTATACAGATTTCCTCAAAACTTGGTGGAAGGAAGCGGTGTGGGTCAAGGAAGAATCCATTAAATGTTACTTATAGGGGACGGTTGGGCCTCGATGGAGGTGTGCACTCTACTAAGTGTCTTTCTAGTATTACAGCTGTTGTATTTCTACATCTGTGCAGGTGGTGGAGGAGCTGTTATCTCGGAGCGGGGCTTTGGGGAAGGAAACAGCGAAAAGCATTGCAGATGCAGCCATGTTGGAGGTGGCCAGCATTTCCATGGGTCACATGGTGCGTAAGCTATAAAATAACAAGTTTTAAATCCAAGCGGGTCTGCACAGTGTCTGTAAACTCTTTGTCTTACACAGGAGCCTGATGAATTCTATGAGGGGATCACATTTGAGCATTTCCTGAAGGTTGGTAACCAGAACACACACTATTATACACTATAATACCATTTCCAGTGTATATAAGTAAAGTTTAAATTGTCACATTGAATGATGTCTTACTCTTTTTGCAGTTGCTGAATGGCTTTGAAATTGAATCAAAAATGAACATTCGCTTTTTGAACATGGACACATCCACCCTGTGTATGTGACGTTGGTACGTTTAGTTAGTCATTGACTCGGTGAAGACTCTGAGGACACATATCGTCGTTTTCACAATAACAGCAACAGCCTGTTTCCTACACCAACGTTTGTCGCCTGCACTGACTATATGCCTTACTTATGTTGGAATAACTATGCAGATCCAAAGAAAGTATATATATTATTATATATTATATTATGGATGTTTTAGGAGTATTTTATTTGTCTGTAAGCAATAACATGAGGCACTACATGATATATTAACAAGCCTTTTAGTAGTTGGACGAAGCAATAATCAAATATCCATGTCTGGAGTAACAGATGGTACAACTATGCATGCAAATATGGATGCTAGAACTGTTAGTGCCATTAATCAATAGCACCCAATAATCAGGGATAAAAGAGTTTGTCTTCAAATGTATATGTTGAGAAATAATAAGACAATATTAAGAAATGCCTTCACGCTGACAACGCAGCATATTTAATATGGCTAATGCTATGCACATGACATTTGCACAATAAAAGACCCTATGAGAAAAAGCCTGATTGTAGTTGATGATGTGCAATTCTGATTAAAAAGGAAACAGTTGCGCTCTTGCAAGATTAAAAATTATTAACAGCTCAATCTGATTACTTCTAAGAACTTTTATCAGGTCACACTTTGTTTTCTCAGAAAAGTCAGTATATGAGTGTGAACCTGGCATTAACCGTACACTTAGTTAAAGGTGTGATCTGTGGTATATGATCTGATTACAATTTTTCAGAATTAGAACCATCTTTTGAAGATTTCAGGGAAGTCACAGCGCAAGGTGTTGGAGAATATCCTCACTTGTGATATTTCTATATATTAAATCATTCAATTATGAGGCCAACCAGATCCTTTTTATTCCAACATAACGAGTGTGAGCAAAACGTTTACATCTTCATCATACCAGAAGTTTCAAGAGCTATTTTCTTTACAGGGGGTAGAAGGGGCAAAGATAAAAACAATAAATGCAAGTAATAATCTTCCATACTTGTTTCATTTCATGGAGAGCTGCTGTTCTACTGGCCTGCACTGACTCCACATGCTTTTGCTGTGACTGTACTGTGTTACTGCATCTGTATTGTTTGTTGCTTTTATACTCACACATTAACTAAACATTGTCTGAACACGCAGAGTTATAAATGTAGAGAATGTAAAACAGCCAGCAGCACTTCTCATGCACTGTGACGTCAGACTCCAGCCAAGATCTGACGTGTACTGCCCTCTGCAGGACAAAACATACAAACCAAATTAAAGCATAATGAACTTGAACCTGATTCTTTTTGTGTGTAATTTCAGATTGTATCAAATGTGTGATGCGGTGATTTTAAACTTGATACATTTTGAGTCATTTTCTTCCTGGTTTTTCATTATTTTAATGTTTACATTTGTCACAGCCCATGGTATGATATCATTTAGTTTTTTAAACTGCGGGAAACCACAAATGGGGAAGTGGTCTCAGACTTCTGGATTACTATATCCCTAAAGCAATTGCATGTGTAAGTTAAATGCAAACAGCTCAGAGAATAATAGTTTTTAATGGTTTCTTTCAACATTTTCCTTGATTTCTCAGAGAATAATGCTTGATTTAAAAAAAAAAAGATCAGGCATATTTAGGGGACTGATATGCAATTTGGTGCAGATCCAAATAAAGATCTGGATCTAGTGAATTTAAAAGTGGTTTGATAAAGGGGCTTTTGGGCCTTGGTGGAGGTCTGCGCTCTATTTTGTTTGCATCAAACTTTGCAAAGTTGATCCAAATGAGAAATAATTTGTTGCATCCTTCCTCCCTTCACTAATCACCTTTCAGAAACGATATCACTGACCTGTGCTAAGCAGAAGTCAACACAGTCTCACAGTAATGTGCTGTAGACTGATGACAGGTGGGTCAGTGTGTATAGGACCTGTAAAGGGTTTCTGTTTTATATGAGGCTTTATATGAGCAGTCTGAGGCGCCTCTGCATGTCGGCAGACCTCACCCCCAGATCAGATCCTGTGAAGTGAAAAGTAATAAATAACGAGGACTGGAGAATTGGTGTTGTCCTAACGTACCCTCTGTGTTTGTGCTTTAAATAAAGCCGAGTTATAACGAGGAACTTGATTCATGACCTAGAGTGAATCCCCCATCTACTTCCAGTTTCCTGAGAGCTTGTGATTTAAGGAAAGTTTAGTAAGCATTACTTCATTCAACAAAAACTTTTGGTATCTGTGATATATGTGAGTGATACATTTGCACGCAACTATTCAAGAATTAATAACAGATTTTCTGCATGATTTCAGCTCCGCTCTTGTTTTCTCTGCCCCACCCTTCACACACTTGCATCTCCATCTCTATGAAGATGTTCAACACATACAGTATTCTCACCCACACCTTGTGACCGACCAGACGTCCCGCCAGTGTCATGAAATCTTTCCTATCTGATGCAGCCTTGTGTCCAACACATGCGTCATTCTGAGCTGATATCAGCTCGGTCAGCGTCTCAGCAGCTTCCTGATTTTCTTTTAACTCCTTTTGATGGACTGACTTTGTGCAGAAAACAGTACACGATGCATTAAACTAGAGTTTAAGTGTTTCTTTAAACTTTCTAATAATGTAGAAACAGATATATTGTCACTTTAAATGAATTTAACAAATGGAAAGTCACATGTGAAGCATGATAGTAGTGGTGGAGTGTTTACTCTTTTGGGATCGTCATTTTTCCAGACACTTGTGTTGCTGTGCTGCTCAAATTGTGCAACAACAATCACAACATAGAAAATCAACAATCACAAAGAAGTGCAGCTTTAAATTTTCTTTTAATAATTCCATATGCAGTAAATAAGTTTACATCAGCAAAATAGATACTTATATAACATCAAATGAATTAAATATACATGAATTAGATGGATTTCACACCCTTCATTTGGAACACAAAAGAAAATAAATATTAAATACCATAAATAGGCTCCATTACATTGATGTACCAGCCACCTTCAAACATCTTTGCAAGTCTTTATCAAAACCCAGTGAGAACAGGTGTTGTTGGAAACTGACGGTCTAAGGCCAGCCTTAGGTCATCCTCAGAAGAAGGGTGCGTTCGTCTATATCCCCCTGCAGACTTTGCTCTTGAGGGTTCTCAGTTCTCTGTAGACATTTGACAGGAACTCTAAATGGGTCTTTAGGACCGCACAGCCGTAGACCTTCTGTTGGAAGACGTTCTGAGGCGGAGGTAGCGTCGTGGGCCCCCCTGCTGGCTCAGGCATGGGCAGGTTTGGGAAGAGGCTCTGGTAGAAGCTGTTTATGAGAGATGCCAGATTCCTGCTGCGGGTGCTGACATTGGTGAGCTCAGCCAGCAGCGGGTTCGATGGTAACTGCAAGTCTGTCTGCTGCTCGTACACCCGTTTGAAATGTGTGAGGAAGGCTTGGAGGTGCGTGTAGATGCTCGCTATCCTCTCTGACGGCTCCAGGCCAGAGATGTTGGGGTCAGGGATGTTGTTGACCGACAAATTGCAGAGGTCCTCTGACATCTCTCCTTGAGAGGCCTTCTGCAAAAACAAAGAAAAAGAAAAGATATTTAAATTATCTCAAAGAGAAACACAAACAGTCAACATGTACTACACAAAAATACTGCACAAGCACATGGGGATTTTAACACAGCAAAACACAGTGCAGCACTTTTGCACCCGAACTCACATATGTTTCGATGAGGTCAACAGATTCCTTCTTTAAGAGTCTGGTGAGCTTTAAAGTCTGCTGCACAGAATTCCCACACTGCTGGCTTCCGCTCACTGCCACAGTCCTCGTTGAATCAACAGCCATAACCAGCAGGAGAGAGAGTAACGCTGAGGAGAAAGGAACTGGTCAGTTATGGTGATCCTTCATCACATCAACGAGGGGAACTTCAGCGTTAAAGCCACAAGTGGCAAGCAGAGGAGGTAAAAATAAACATTCAGCAAGTCGAGGACAGAACACGACAGGTCTGTTATATTATCAGTTCTGAGATTTTATACAATTAATGAATGCACTTGACATGTCATCATACTTGTCTCTTTAAACAAAGGTCAGATTTTCCAAACTTTTTAGAAACTAAATTAAATTTACAAATGCAGGAATAAAATCTCAAACATGTAAGTATATAATCAACAGAAAGTGTGAATAACTTATAAATATAAAACTGTATAAGACTGTGAAGCACTTAACTTGAATATGAAACAGCAGATTTAAGGCACAGAAAATATCCACAACAAGCACAATATCAAGAAAAGATGTGACCATGTGTAATTGCTGTTTGATATTTCAATAGAAAAAAAGAGATGTGAATAAAACTTACTTGTTGTCAGTTCCATAAACTGTTGAAAACTCATTCTCTTTACATAACCATTCATTCTCTCCTCGGTATCTCAGGCAAATTGCGCGGACTTGTCATAATCACACCGCTTTAAAACTTTTTTTAAAAAGACACAAACCACACATTTGTCATAGGAGGAAATGACGTGCAGTTTGTGAGGCAACCAAATTTCCCAGAATTTCCTCCTTTTTTCTCACATGTGCCTTTTTTTTCTTCTGTATAAAACAAGTGGTCAACGTCCCTACATGTCTGTGCACAGACATGTAGGGACGTTGCCCCCTTATTGTTACAGGTGCACTTAACCTTTTTGACATTTTAAAAGCACTTCCTTTTCATTTGTGCATGGAAACATATTCACACGTGGTATATTAAAGTCACTTGAGGAAGATAAACCTGCATCATTTAGAAAATAGTGTCAGACATGCACAGAAATAAATCAAGCACTGGGGGGAGCCTCCCCTTTGACACAGTTCACTACCTTTTTAACTGCCCCCTAGAGAGAGGAGGTGAGAACTTACAGGGTGTCAAACAGTTACAGTGCACAAAGCTTGATAGTGATTTTCACTTAAAAATGTACCTTAAGAAACATGTAAAGCTCAATTGAAGGCATTTGTCCTTTAATGAACTAATCAGGTACGGATGAATATGGAAAAATCATTGGTTCCACTGATTTTAATGACAAATTAACAACAGCGCCACATTAATACACCTGATACTCATCCAAACATGAGTGGAAAGTACAAGTTGCGTTCTTTAAAGCAACGTTTTTGAACTGTACCTTCGTAATTTCATCCACTTCTGCTGCTTTTAGTGAACTTTTATCAATATAACTGTATATTTACAATTTAACTGTAATTAGTGCTCGAGTTTCTGCAGCTCGTGTTTCTGCAAAATATTGCTGTGGAGGAAGCCAGCGAGGTGACAGGAAACGCATTTCTCAATCAGAAACTTTTACATGTGCGTAAAGGGGCGGGTCTGCGTTACTCAACTATGCAACACGTCAGTGTCATCACACCACAATTTTAAGATTTCAATGAGCTCATGTATTTCAGGGGATGTTTCATTCTGACATAATGAGGTGGTGCATCGTCATGTCCAGCGATTGGTGGGAGAACGTCAAACATGAAGATAAACTGGGGTTTTTCATCACACTGACCTCTAGGAATGGTGGTCACTTCTGCTTGGAGACACGCTATGATGTGTTTAGTCAGCCGTCTGCATCACAGGGTTGGTGAGAGGTCACAGCCACAGCTCACTGACATGATCTCCATTTTACAGCAGTCATGTCTTTGTTTTAAGCATCTACACTCGATGCTGTATTGTTATCAAACCACCAACTGCTTGAGAAAAGCCAAGGGGAACTCAACGCACCACAGCCCTGTCAGCACTGGTTCAGGTAAAGGCAAACCACCTTCTCTGCTGCCCTCGGGGCTTTCCACTTGCCCCCGGGGATAATAGTGGGGTTGTGGTGAGGCAGGCGACTGCTGCAGATGGTGCTGCAGACGTCTACGGTTCAAGGAAACTACAGCCGAATTCCTGCCAGCCACCAATCAACACCCATAGAGCAAGAATCAAGTTTACCCGAAACAGCACCCTATAAAACACTGTGTAGGTCTGAGCTGTTTAACTTCCCTCTCACCTCCTGTTCCCTTTTCAAAGCTCTGGTTCTCACAAGTTGTCTTCGACCTGCACTTGCCTGTAGATCTATGGTGACTTAAAATGAACAGCGTTTGACACAATGTGGGCCATGGCTGTGATGTGGTACCAAAGAATATCAAAAGTGAAAAGTCCTCAACCACACAACAAAGTATTACAAGGAAATGCAACCACAAACAATATGAAATTCACTATCATAAGATGCAGGATGTTGACTGAGACTCTTTTCTTTCTTTTTTTCAACAGAATCTCTTTTATTTTGTCTTTATCTGCACAGGAAACGGTTGTTAAGGAAAGTCCCCTTTTATTCTAACTAAATACATCTTTATAGTAACTCAGAATTCACACAGATTGCTAAGGTTCATAATGGTTCTCAAAAAAAACCTTATTCCAGCACCCCAGCAGCACTTGATTTATATATTTTCTTACTAGAACCAGTCCACAAGGCTTCAGTTCATATGTGACCAGACAAAAAGGCCTTACTGCATATGAGAAACTTTTTCATCAAATTTCAAAAAACTTTATGAAAATGTAAAAGGCTGAAAAATCGAGAGGAGCCATTCATCAACACATTCTGGTCAAACACAACAAGTTCAGAATCTGGATTTCTGTCTGTAAAACAAGCGTTTTGAATTTCCATCAGAAATGATACTCAATATATTCCTCTGTTTAAAATACTGTGCTAATTCAGGGGACGTCTTCGGCCTTTCAGCGCCGTGAGGAATACGACTGAACATTAATACAAGCCGCGGCTATGAAATCAAAAGAAACAGGAAATAACCGCCGAAACATGACAGGGTTGCATTCAAGACCACAACATTAATTAAACAATGTTTCAAAAAACTGACCCGTGATAAAATAGTATTTATTTTTTCATACATATACTTCATTTTTAGAGGGTTTCACTGCATGGGGTACTCTAAATATGTCATGAGTGTCTGAAAAAACTTAGTAGTGTTTTGACTTGGGGTGGGGGGGGGGGGGCTTCAAAATGCTTCATGTTCACATTTTGTAAAAATCAATCGTCTCTCTCCAAGACACAAAACTACAAGGCTAAATGTGGTATTAGAAATTAAGCACCAAACAATTATCGTTCCATTCAGTATAAATGGAAACATTGTGCAACCTGTTCAATGACCTTAATGAACATGGCAAAAAATATGTAAATCTGATCATTAGACACAAATCACTCAAATGCAATCTGGATTCAAGTGTTGTGGTTTTTTTTCATTTTCTAGAACCGCTGATCGATAAAAGATCAATCGGAATGATATTACAAGAAGTCTGTGGTTCCATTCACCAGCATTTATACAATCTGAGAGTCTAGTGATTTCCACTTAGCAATATACTGAGCTATTGTTTGACCGTATCTTCATGTTATAAAACAAAAACGAAGCAAAAACCTTTATCGTTAAGCTCTGTTATCGGTAATAGACCAGTGTCTCTGTGTCTTCTAGCTATTATTCTCATGTACAAATATTGATATCAAAAGTTATACAGCACAATTCTCACCATTTTTCCTTTACAAGAACTTTGATTAGTGAACATTAAATGATCCACAAGTTTAGATGAAACCAAAACAAAAATGGTGCCGGCCTCAGGAAATAAAATATAGATAAACACAAAAAACTAAAATCTGCTTCAGGCACAACTTAAATGAAGGCATTTGTGAAATGATCATATCAAATATGGAGCTTATGTCCAGTACCCATAGGCTTTGAAACAAAAACAAAAAAAATGCTATGACCACTTTTATTTACAAACAGCTAAAATCTCTGACAGATTCATGCTTCACTTCACAACCTGAATTTGTCCTTAAAGTGCATGCAATAATAAGCAGTTTTACCAAGTGGGATCTTGAATTGTGATAAAGAGAAACTGGTTGATCAAGCTGATGCCAATCGATCCTACATATCAAATAAAAAACTGTTGCCTAGAAAAAGTGAGGGACCACAGTATACTGTATGCATAAGCACAATATGGAAGTATGACTGAAGAAAATGTAAAATAAAAAAATGAATAAACTCTGACCTTATCCAGTGACCCCCATACAGTAATATTATCCACATTCAGAGCATTAAATAAATCAAACAAAATGAAATAAACCTCGTAAATAAAAAGACAAAGCAGCTTAACACCACGGGGGAGTCCGCAGCTCACATTCCACAATGTCCCTCCATGTAACACACACATTTAGCATCATATGAACATGATGGGTTTCTACTTAAACATATCAAAGTGCCCATTTTACTAAAATTTCCTGATTTATTCATTTCATACCAAAAGGAGGAAATGGCATGGAGGAAAAACAAAAGAGTCTGTTGTTCTGAACACATAAGTTTTGAGTTACACTGACTAGGTTTGATTTTTATTGACATGTTGTTGTTGTTGATTCTTTTGTTTTACTTTCCCCCTTCAAGTTTCACAAAAGAAGTTCTCATTGCACGAGACACCTCGATTCAAAGATGCAATATCTGCGAGAGAAGAAAAGCAATAAGAGAAAGTTTCCAGCTTTGTCGCCGTGGGGCGCGACAAATGGCGGAGTGGACGTGAAAAGGGCGTGGATATGTTCTCCTCCAGAGATAAGTCCACTTTCATCTGTTGTCTTCTTTGGGGAAGTCCAGAGATCCCAGGCTTCCGAAGCCGAGACTTCTACTTTCTGTGTCAAAGGCGTTCATTTCTCTGTCCTGACGTTCCAACAAGTGCTTGATCTTCTCAGTGCGTTCCTTCTGAAGTGCGGCCAGTTCCTCCTCAATCTGCAATCGAAAAATATCACGGCAGATATTTCATGATATGGAAATCTGAGTTGTGTTCGCCAATAGATTGAAAATTAACATGGGACACATGCAGGCTTCCCAATAGTGAAGCCAAAAGTGCCTTGATCACTCCCTAGTGGCTGGCTGCAGTATAGGTCATAAACCCTGTCTCCTCCATGTTAGTTGGTGGGACACAGGCCAAACAAATAAAATCTAAATAGACTCACGGCTTAATCCTCTGTTCGCTACTGTGAAAACTCCAGCTCCCAATGATGCAATCGGTGCAAAATGGCAGCTCTTTTCGTTTCTGGATAGTGAAGACACGTCGTCCATCTTTATTTACAGTCCATGGTTTTGCGGTCAGTACTGTTGCCAGTGACTTTACAAGTAAGATATAATACAGGTTGTCATGATAATTATATTGTGGATATTCATGATTCTCTAATGATTAAACTTACTTGGTGGTAGCTCTCCTGAACCTTAGCACCGCCCAACCGCTACAGCTGAAATGTTGAGTCCCAATATGTCACTCAACATAAAATATGTCAGACATTACAGAGTCTAGTTTCTCCAATGTGAAGGTGAATGTAAAGGTTTTATTTTGATATTTATTTTGAAGATATTTGAGGATGTCTCCCTGCACATTAGTTGAGCT